AGCCTAGCCGGGCTATAACCGTGGCCCGGTGCCTTTAGCTTAACCTCTGCTTCCTAAGCTCTGGCCACGCTCGCCGACTGCACTCCCGACCAAAGGGACTATGGCTGCCAACGTGCGTAAACTGCTGGTAGCGAACCGTGGAGAAAGTGAGTCCCAATACATGATTGCAATCATATCACTAAACCGAGTCTCTTGATCGTGTTGTTACACAAGTTGCGATCCGCATATTTCGGTCGGCGTCTGAGCTGGGATGGCGCACCGTTGCATTGTACACGGAGAACGACTCCTCTCATGCATCCTTTGCTGAAGAGGCAGTCGCATTGGACTCGCCTGCCCGGTACATGGATCCTGAGCATATCGCAGATATCGCACGACGGTCAGTGTTCAACACGTCCTCAGGAAGGTCGAGACTGACTAACGCCTTTGGATAGTACGCATTGTACGCACATCCACCCAGGCTACGGGTTTCTCAGTGAGAGCCCAAACTTCGCCGCCCTATTTCAGACGGACGATGCCATCACCTTCGTCGGACCTTCTGTCGAAACGCTCGAAATTGCTTCTGATAAGATGCGCTCGCGTTCCCTTGCAGCTTCGCATGGTGTGCCCGTCGCACCCGGGGCTCACGTAAGCTCCGCAGAGGACGTGCGCCGTTTCACCGACAGCTTGGGGGCTGATGGATTCCCAATTATCATCAAGGCCTTAGATGGCGGCGGTGGACGGGGAATCCGCCTCATATATGCGCATGACGAGGTCGAAGATGCCTTCCGGAGGTGTATTGGCGAAAGCGCGTCACGCCGAGTGTTCGTAGAGAAAGCTTATATAGGGCCAGGTTGGCGACACATCGAAGTACAAATCGTAGGAGATGGGCATGGTAATGTGACGCATCTCTGGGAGAGAGAATGCAGCATTCAACGGAGGTATGCATAAGCACCCACCTTCGTCTGTAGGCGAGAAAGGCTCATCTGCTTAGGTTTCAGAAATTGGTAGAGGTATGATCTCATCGGCCATGCACAAGTCGTTGTGGTACACTCCATTGATGCGAATGGCATAGATGGCTCCATCCACGCTATCGCGTGAGGCGATACGTCCGCTCATTGAGGCTGCGCTCAAGATGGCTCGACATCTAAGTTACGCAGGGCTGGGCACGTTCGAGTTCCTCATGAACGGCCAATCCCACGAATGGATCTTCCTCGAGATCAATCCAAGAGTGCAAGTCGAGCATACAGTCACGGGTACGTGAACCGCTACACACGGGCTGATGGTCGTGCTCATCATGTGCCGACAGAGGAAGTCATGAACTTGGATCTAGTGCGAGTACAATTGCTCTTATCCCTTCCTGGCGTATCACTTGCATCAGCTCTGCCTGTTGCCCATGCAACATCGCCGCCTATGCCTCAAGGGCATGCCATTCAGCTCCGTTTGGTCGCCGAAGATCCCCAGTCCTCCTTCCATCTCTCGGTGGGGAGTATTTCTGCACGCGATGTCCAATGGCCAAGCGGTCGAGGTGTTCGCGTGGACACATGGCTTTGTGCTGGTCCTTGCTCGCATGCGGGTGTGCACGGTCAACCGTGGTCAATAGGCGTGGACTTCGATTCCCTCTTGGCCAAGATCGTTGTGCATGCCGGAACGTCCGGAGAAGCGACCGCACGCGCTTTGCGAGCGTTGCGCGAGACCCGCGTTCAGGGGGCAGTGAAGACTAACGTGGAGCTACTGGCAGGGATAGTAACTCATCCTGACTGGTCTGCTGGGATAATACACACGGGATGGCTCGAGGACAACGTCGATGAAGCGATACAGCTTGGAAGGACGCACCTCCGACGGATTCAAGACTATGACGCATCTCTGGCAGATGCACCGGCTCAAAGCCTCAGGGCTGAGTCAGGGACTGTGACGGGAACTGTCCTTCTCCAACCAGGAGCCTCTTTCCAGCTCCTGCTCAGTCCTTCTGGCGACGAAGTGCAGCAGCAACGACACACGATGGTATTGTCGTCCATTGGCCACAATGCATTCCCGAGCGAGCTTTCTGGGACGATCAGCACCTCGCTCGCGCCCGTACCGATGTCCTTCTCACTGAAGCAACTCTCGGCTATCCCGACATCTTCGCAGACCGAATTCGCAGATCCTCGAGACCCCACACATGTCGCGTCCCCCATTGCGGGCAAGATCGTGGAAGTTCACCCAGCCCTACAAGGCGCGGAAACAGGCGGGTCTGTTGAATTAGGAGACGCACTGGTCGTGGTCAGCGTAATGAAGATGGAGAGCGTCGTGAAGTCTCCTGCGAGTGCTCGGGTCGTGAGGGTGGGTCGGGGTATAGAAGTCGGAAGCATCATCGGAGAAGGAACATTGCTGTGTGTACTCGCGGTCGATGAGGCAGCAAAGGCGTTGTCTCGGCTGTAATATCTCCTAGCGGAGTCATGATACACAGAGATATATCTACTGAGCAGAGTGTAAGGCGAGCCTACAGCTTGAAGAAACGTCGAGAAGACACGCGACGCGACGCGCCGGCGTCTGGCACGTGACCGCGGCAGAGTATACGTGGTTCCGCCAGACGGTGAGATCATCCTAACTCTGGCACCTCCTCAGTCTTTCTATCGCTTGTGTTATCCTCTTCTGCTTTCCTCCTGGTTTTCTTCGCGACTCGCTGTACTTGTATAAACCTGCCTAGCCATGTCGTTTATGGATGAAATCCGCAAGATACCACCTGTGACGCGCTTTCTATGCGCAGCTTCACTAGCGGTGACGGTACCCGTCTTGCTGCAGCTTGTGCACCCGTACAAGATCGTATTCGTGAAGGAGTTTGTAACACAAAAGTTCGAGGTAAGCTATACTCCATATTATGGCTATGGGTACTGCCTGCGTCGCACGGGGCACCAAGACATTGGTTGGTGGCGGGTAGTATGATGGCTCACTCGCACTACCAGATCTGGCGAATCTTTACGAGCTTCTTTATGGGAAGTGAGTACAGTCCGTTTAGTGCGAGATACATGAGAACAAGTATAACATTTCGACAGGCTCGGGAATCAACTTCATATTCGACTTCGCAATGCTCTAGTACGTGGCCCTGTGAAATTATACTAGGCAGCAGCTGGTGCTGAATATGTCCCGCAACCCAGTCGGAATTCGGACGAGCTGGAGTCCAAACACTTTGCTTTACGTTCTGCGGACTATGCATGGCAACTGTTCCTCGCAGCTGTCGCGATCCTTGTGCGTACCTGGATCTCCTGACCTATACCGCACACGCTAATGGTTCTCTAGCTTCTGAACATCCCACTGGGCACATTTGTGCACACCCGCGCGCTCCTCATCGCGCTCATCTACGTTTCCTCGCGACTGGCACCACCAGGCTCTCAAACATCCTTCTTCGGACTCGTCACGTTCCCGCTCATCTACCTACCGTACATGCTTGTGGGCCTCGACCTGCTCATGGGCGGCCCTGGTGCAGCAGCTGTGAGCGTCTCAGGCGCCGTCGTTGGCCACCTGTGGTGGTGGGGTGTCTGGGACACTGGTGCGCTTAGGTCGTGGGGCACCGCGCCTGCGTGGTTGCAGGCCTTCCTTGCTCCGCCGGGGGGTGTTGCAGCTGCTGCGAACATCGGTGGAGGTGTGCATGTTGTTCCTCCGAGGAGACTGCGGGAAGAAGCCGCTACGACAACCGGTATAAGGGGACACAACTGGGGCTCGGGGCGTAGGCTGGGTGAATGAGGGGAGCCCGAGTATCCTTGATAGCTGGTAAGCAGACTTGTACTTTTAGTGAGATCCTCTCTCAATGGTACCTCCTTTGCCAGGACGGTGCCCTTACTGTATGCTATATATTCGACTGTCGAGGTGGATGCAATTGTTATTTCCCGGGCAAATGGAGTCTAGAAAGCAGTCCTGATGCGTATGCTATCACAAGACGAGACTTTCCGTTGCGCACAAGCTAGTGAGTGATCGGCCTGCCTGTCTGATTGCTCGTATGCAGTGTTACATCTTGTGCAAGTTAGTCGCCTACTTGAAATGCGGAGGCGTAGTTCGCACCTGTTTTACAGCCTTGTTAGCCGACCGTCGTACATTCTCCCAACAATGAACATTGTAGCAACAGCAATATTCGTCCACACTCATGCACTCTCCTTGGCTCCATACTGCTCCCAGTATTCTTGCATCTTCGCAAGCTCTTCTGTCCGGCCGTGTTCTTGTAGCCAGCGCATGAGATCCTTCATCTTCAAGATCGTAGGGACGCGTCCCTTGCCGCCAAGAAGCTCCTCGATTTCCGCGATACTGCTCCTGCCCTCCTTCCCGACTTCTTGGCGATCAAGCATGAGGATCGCACCTACAACCTCGCCGCCCTCGCGCTTCACAGTGTCGATGGTCGCGCGGATCGCCGTGCCCGCTGTCGCGACGTCGTCCAATACGAGGACACGCTTGCCCTTGACGGGCGTGCCGACGGTGATCCCACCTTCGCCATGGTCCTTTGCCTCCTTGCGGTCGTACGCGAAGCCAACGTCGATCCCGTGGTCGCGATGCAAGAGGATAGCGGTGCCCGCGGCGAAGGGGATGCCCTTGTACGCCGGACCGAAGAGGATATCGAACTCCGGTAGACCAGGGGATGACTTGAGCGCGTTGGCGATCGTCGCAGCGTACGCAGAGCAGAGCGTGTTAAGCACAGGTCCAGATGCGAGCAGGCCGGCGTTGAAGAAGTACGGGGAGGTGCTGGTAGAGGATTGCGCGAGGATGTGAGGGGCAGTCAAACGAGCGGCGCGGAGGATGTGGGACGGACCGGCCAGACTTGAGGGTGAAGGTCCCAAATTTGAGAGCACCGACGGACATGCCGTGCTCAATGAGCTCTGTCTGATACTTTTCGAGCGACATGATGATATATCTGAGCAGTGAGTCTGAGAGCGATAGAGGGGGTACGAGCGGAAAGGAGGGAAGTCAGATATTCAAAGGGAAAGTAAGGCCGGTTATCACGGGCCGCCTTCAAAGCAGTGCCAGGTATATAATTACATACGCGAGCCATCCACAACGGCCGCCTGGCGTAATGGCAACGCGTCTGACTACGACTTTGCAGCAAAAACTGCGAAAAATCAGGAGATTGCAGGTTCGACCCCTGCGGTGGTCATTTTGTTTTGTATCTGCATTCACGACATCTCCAGGACTTTTTGCGGCCCAAAATATTGCGAAAAGACACCGGAAGGCGAGTGGAAGACAGAGTGGTGTGATTGGCGCCCGAGAGATGCATCGGGCATGAGCGCTTACCAAATGCATGCGCTCATATGAGCGTCTAACAGACTTGTTATGCCCCACCCGCCTCAAGACCCTGAGCCTCAGGGTCCGCTCGTCTGCTTACGGCTGTATCACGCTTCACTCTCACCATAATCAGCGTTCTGGTCGTCAGTGGAGATACGGGCAGCTAGTGGAACAGGCGTGTTCTCGAACGCGCACGCAGGCTGCTGCTAGAAGACGTTGACTTCACTCCCTGCGGCGTACCTCCTACATCCTACCTCTCGAAACATATTTCCTCGCATTGTGTTCGTCATGGGACTTTGATGAGGTGCGCTCGCTCCTGAGCATCGTGTGATGGCAGACAAACTGACGATTCATGGTCCGACCGCAGCGCCGACCCCGCGACTTTTATACCCGCCCACATCCGTCTAAGTATCACATCATGGGTCTTCTCGGAGCGTTCACTATCCTGCTTCCAGTGTTTCTACCCAAGCGTGCCACACGAGTTTCACTTGATCCAGAGAAAGCTGCAGGCAGCGACGACGGCGTAGAACGACGGGGCTCCACCACTCTCCGGCAGCCTGCCCAAGAGCACCCTGCACGGAACGCAGGCGCTCGCGGTATTCCGGGCACGGACACGCCTTGTCGCCCCCTTCATCGCGTGTACCAGAAGTTCACGCATCCATTATCTCGCCCCGTTCGCAGCGGCGCAGCATCCGACGACGTCACCATCTCGGGAGCCTCTCTATATCCGAGATTGAAGTCCTATGTTTGGCCAACAGACGACAACAGCAATGATGTCGACAAGCTCGCCCCAAACTACCGCTGGACGCCTATTCTGTCTGGCATTGTGATTCCCTTCTCTATCTTGCTAGAGATCCCTGGCCTCACCGAAGACTGGTACATCAGAACTGAGAACCACCAAACGGTCGAAAAGAGGAAAAACCCGGTCATCCTAGAAGTCGGCATGGTGATCTCCATAATCTGTGCTCTAATTGCAAACGTATCCCTTGTGCTTCGGTTTTTGGAGAAACGAGTCCAGACAGTCACGCTCCTCTGCATAGTATCTTTGACCGTGCACGGTATGTCTCTACCGGCTCTTATGACTAAGCGCGGTCAGCTAATCGCAAGCAGACCTAATTAATATCATCACCGTCACTGTCTTCGGTGTCGAACATCGCTTCGACGACGGCTTCACATACGGAGAGGCTTTCTGGATGACACTTTGTTCGACCATCGCATCTACCATCAGCAATATTAGCCTCATAGTCGATCTTGTTCGCACTCCTGATTTCGCTAGACGAGGCGAGTCTGCTCCCCAAACACAGAATGCTCGTGCTAACGTACGTTCCGTATGAAAACAGGAAGTGGACTGACACGCAAGCAGCGCTCCCTCATGATCGTTGTTATTGTCCTCCTTGTCTACATCGCGTTCGGCGCGCTGATCAACTCCATCCTGCTCCACCTGACCTTCATCAACGGTCTCTACTTCTCCGTCGTCTCCATCGAAACTATTGGATTTGGCGACATCGTGCCCAAAAGTACGGGCGCGCGAGTATGGACTTGCGTATACATCCTCTTCGGTGTCATCAACATTGGTGTGGTCATCGCCATGTGCCGCGAGACCATCCTCGAAGGACTGGAGGTTGGATACAGACGCCGTATGCGCGACATGCGCCAACGCCGACGGGACGCACGTCGTTTCCGACGATGGGAGGTGCGCTGGCAGCGTGCAGTCGAGTTCCGCCTCCGCGAAGCTGGATTACCTGTCTGGGTGTCCGACAAGGAGCAAGAGGACGATGGTGTGAGCGTGCATGCCCACTACCTCATCCCAAACGTCACCCGCCGAATGCCGTTTCTGGAACGGGTAGGACTCACCATCAAGCGCTCTGCCACACTGAACTCTGTCGAATCTCGCCTGACCGGTCACCATGGGATGCACCTCAACGTGAACGCGCTGACGAACGCGCAGCTGGAGGAGGCTGCCCTCGAAGCCGGGGTCCCGCTCGATATGTTCCTCGACCTCGGCGAACGAGCCAACGAGAGGCGTTCACATCAGAATGGCAACGAGGGTCCGCTCAAGAGTGCAGAGGACCATGGCGGGATTGCTCCTGCTTTGGCGCGCACGCACGCCGCACACGCCTTCCGGGACAACATCGTCAGCGGGTGGCCATCGCACCCGCAGACACCAACGCACGCGCAGGTCGGCCGGATGGCGGCGATGGTGACCAAGTTTGCTGTGGCGGTTGCTGGTCGCCACGCTCACGCTCCGGGAATGTTGCCTGATGTGGTCGATGAAGAACGAGGACATGCGGTAAATGATGGCGAGCATATCACACCAACGGAAGGAGAAGCCCCTGAACGGGAGGCGGGGAATACAACTCCCACGAGCAATCATGAGGTCGAAGATACGTCCCAAGGAGATGCCCCTGAACGGCGACCCTCGTTCAAGGACGTACAAAACCACCCTGCCGCGAAGTGGTTAAAGGACTTCTCGCGTGGAGCCTCGCAGCGCTCTGCCTGGACGTACGAGAGTCTCGTATCTGACATGGAAGCGGAAGAGAAGAAGGCATACTATGTCAAGGTATGCGCGATCTTAGTCTTACGAGCCCAGTGTCTCACTGTCGCCCCTCGTAGCTTGCAATTGCTTGGGTATTGTTCTTCATGTTTTGGACGGTAAGCTGATCGAATGGTGCTCTGAGTTCGTGCACTCAAAGCGCATATATGCAGGTTGGATCGGGTGTCTTCTCTGCAACAGAAGGATGGCCCTACGGCAGTGCGATGTACTTTTGTAAGTCGCATGATCGCCCACTCGGCCTTCTACGTTAATCTCACTTCGGTGTACTAGGCTTCCTGGCATTCGTCACAACCGGCTACGGTGACTTTGCCCCCGTAACACCAGCGGGCCGTTCCATCTTCGTTGTCTGGGCTCTATTTGGTGTCGGCACGCTGACAATCGTCGTCTCAGGTCTGTCTGTCTCCTGCTGATGCGTCGTTAGTATTCTCACTCTACGTGTAGTCTTGCAAGAGGCCAGTTCTTCGCGATACAAGAGCGCTCTTCATTCTCGCGTCTTCGACAAAGCCGTCAAGAAGTACCGCAAGCGGCAGCTACAAGAGACGAAGCAGCGTCCGAGGCCTGTTGTGGGACAGCAGCAGCAGCAACGATCGGGCGCGGGTGCACAGACATCAGATAAAACGCGAGAAGACAGCAGGCCCGACCACCCAGCATCAGGCTCACGAAATCCTAGTGATGTAGCCGACACCCGACAGACCGCAGAGCGCTACAAAGAGTCCCAGGAGATCGCTCAACGTGCTCTGGAGGCATTGCCAGGAGAGATTGTTCGGGGAGCGCGGCTGTTCCAAGAGTACATGCAGTTTTTCGTCTCTGGCTCGGCGGAAGGCACCAATCCTCTCGAAGATGGCGATGGTGAAGACGCCAATGGCGTGCCCAAGGTCCCACCCGATATGAAGAAGCTGCTGGACGAATTGGCGGAGATGGAGCACATCAATGAGAGGGTCAAGATAGAGATCCTGGAAGATGAGGACGCGCGGAAGGTTAGTTACAGCCTTGTGTTACACAATACCGCTCACTCACGACATATACAGACACTCTTCATGCTCAGCCTCGAACGTACGTCGGATTGCATTATTCTTGCCCCTTACATGTGCTGAGACTTGTGATATTGTGTGCTAGGTTCCTTGAAGAAAATGGTCACGTCAGCGGAGAAAGCATTGTCCGCGCTGGCCGACCGGGACGCTCTTGCTTCGATAGCCGCGGCACAGAGGTCGCCAGTAGAAGAACCTCATGGTGGAAGAGACGCACACGCAGATAGCTCTGGAGAGGGCGAATATGGGCAGTCGAGTGCTCTTCCGCGGGCGCAATCTGAGCCTACGCGGCCTTTGCACCATCGGCGAGTGCGACACGCGCCGAGTCCGAAACGAGACCGCCGAGGGATCGAAGAGCTCTCGTCGTCTGATTTCGAGGACACTTCGTCCACTACCTCATCGATGACCGCCGGCCCCAGCTGACACGACCGTATCCATGCCAGGAACACTACGATGAACTCATTCCTGCTGATGACCTTGCATCATACTACGGCTGTCGTTTACTGTCCCGACAAGAACATAGACCATAATTGACCTGACCTTGTAGCATACATATTTACGTCTACCCTGACGACTTCGTTCACGCAAGCATTGATATATATATACCCGCTGCTGTCCTCCGCATGAACACCTGTAGCGTAGCCGTATTTCCTAGTCATTGCTATATAACTCCGTACGAGAGACTTTCCGAGCGGCCCGAGCGTTTCGGTTGATCAAGACGCCGCGCACCGCGTGAGCATTGTCTCCGCCCGGCCTTCCGCCCTCTGCTTCAGCGTACATATTCTCAGCTGGGCCATGGAGCGTTTTCTAAGACGCCCCCAGTACGAGTGGGATGAGCGTCGGCGCCCAAGACCTAAAGAGTGCTCTTATAGAACGTCTCAGCTCTGTGGCCTCTCATCTCGCCTCCACGAAGTCAGACAAGATGCCTCAACGCCATAAGGTCGTGGTTTGCCGCGATTTGGGTCCGGATGTGATGCCCTTGCTCTTGAACCATCCTGAACTAGAAGTAAGAATGTCTGTTCTGCAACAGATGCCTTGCTGACGCGGTTTCCCTTCAGGTTGTCCTCTGGCCAGAGAACAGTTCGTGCGATCGCAAATGGCTGCTCGATAACGCACCTGGAGCGTCTGGAATCCTCGTGTTATTGTCCGAGAAGGTATCTACTGAATCTGAGTAACTATATGCTCAGAATATGCTTGAACCTCAAACTTGACAGGTCAATGCAGAGCTATTAGATGCTGCTGGGCCACACTTACGCGTAATCTCGACGATGTCCGTGGGTTACGGTATGA